GCTCGATCGTGTGCAATGGCGAGGACCGCGATTGTGGACACGCAAATGCGCGTGTCACTGGGGCGTTCGGTGGGGCTCCCTATGGGGCCACGAACCGTGCGATAGATGCGCCGTGATGTGTGTGGTGCGTGGTGCGTGTGTCTGTGGTGCCGGTCGTGTGTGTGTGTGTGTCGTGTTTGTGTGGTGGTGGTTGACGGTTGGTGGTGGCGGTGGTGGTGTGTGTCGGGGGGGGGGGGGCGTGCGTGGGGGTGGCGGTGGTCGTGGTGGGTTGGTGGTGGCGGGGGTGGAGCTGGGCGGGGGTCTCTGGGTGGGTGGGCGGGCCATGGGCGGCGCAAGCGCCATGGGCGGCGCAACCGCACGTGCACGTGCCGTCATAGGCGGCCAAACGCAGTACACGTCGCTTGGAGCTCCATATGGGCCCGCGAATGGCGCGAGCAAAGGTCGCCATTTGGACTTTATGTGGAGCTCCTCATGTGGCCACGGGCCGCGTGATGGGGCGTGCCGTAATGGGCGGCACGGACGCTTGTGCGACGCCGCCTCAAGTCGAAACCCCCATGCAGCCACGGACCGTGCGAGGGGTGCGCCGCAATGGGTTGCGCGCGCGCGTGCGAACTTCGCCACTGGGGCCTTGGGTGGAACTCTTTCTGAGGCGACGGGCCGCGCGATTGAGAGCGTCGCAATGGTTGGGCAGCCTTTCGTTGAGATCCTTCTGGGGCCACGAACCGCGCGAGGGCGCGCCGCGATGGGTGGCCCAGGAGCGCGCGACCGTCGCCACGGGTGCTTTAAGTGGAGCACCATGTGGGGCCGCGAACCGCGCGATGGGGCGCGCCGTAATCGGTGGCGCGGACGCATGTCCACGTCGCCACAGGGGGCTCAGATGGAGCCCCCTATGGGGCCACGGTCCGTGCGAGGGTGCGGCATGATGCGCGGCGCGGACGCATGTAAGCGTCTCTACTGGGGCCTTGGGTGCAATTCCATAAGTGGCCATGAACCATGGGAAGGGCGCAGCGTTGTGGCGCGGATGCGGCGCACGGGACTTGTGCGTAGGCGTCGCGCGCGCGTGGCACACCGACGTGGCGCATGGACATTCGCGCACGGATGCCACGCGCGGGCGCTGCTGTGCACGGGCGCTGCGCGCGGACGCGGGGGGGGGTGGGTGGGGGGGAAGGGCGCGAACAGAGCGGGGTCGCGATGGAGTGGGGTCGGGTGGGATGAGGGGTGGCGGTAGGGGCGGGAGGGGGAGCGGCGGGGGGGCTAAAACTGCGCGATGCAGGCGCGCCGTAAAGTTCGCGTAGGATGAATGCATTAAAGCATATGGCGATCCACATCAAAATAGCAACGACGCCTTAACAGTCGCGGCAAACGAAGAAGAGCAGCGCTGGCTGTGCGTTGGACAAGGTAAGGAGGTATATTGCACTGGTACACAAGAGTTGTGATTAGTTGCAGGAGCCCGTGTAGAGCAAAGCCTGATGGGGGGAGCGGGCATTGGATATATTGGGCAAGAAATGTGCACGTGGTCTGCGCATGCGGATTGGGCGTTGAGTTGCGCTGTGCTACCGCGGTGACATTTGCGTCGTGGACGCCGCCATGGCGGCCGCGTGTGTTACGAAATCTACGCGTCGAACCCTGAAGAGACGCCCGCGTCGAACTCGGTCTTGCCGCCCTTTGCACCACCGCTACTTGTGGATAGCGTCTGGCTGGCGTTTGAATATGCCAGGGTGGGGTGGGATGAGCTGCGGGGCAGGTTTGCGGACCACGCTAATGCTACGAATCGTACGGCGCAGGATAGTTGCAGAGATGCGGTTGACCTTGATCACAGCATGTGTAGGAGTAGGGGTTGGAAAGGGCGCGGTAAGGCACGTTAGTGCAGAGTAGATTTTCAACGCTCTAAATATGCATAAAACGAAGCCAGCGTAGTGTCTAAATAACATTGGATGTAATAGAACCTAGTGCCTCCAGCGAAGATGGAGGGCAGGATCCCGTTGAGTACGACACGGGCTGGGGTAGCGCGGCGTGGAAAGCATGCGCACACAATTTGTTATAAGATCTCTCCTGGTGAGCTGCTCGTTGGCGGAAGGGGAGGAGCAGGGAACAGGAACATCGACAAAGGTTACTTCCTGAAAAGTTGTTAACCGCGCGCCGCCGACTAGCGTGGAAAAGTGTCACGGGAGAAAAGGTATGACAGGCAACCACGACATCAAATGACGAACTGGATGTGACCGTCTGGATGGCACGTGCCACGGCGGAAGCCCCATGGAGAAAACCAACTGTGCATTTTTGACTGGGCGCCAACATGAACCAAGGAAACCTCAGAAAGGCAACTCGTGACACGTGTCACCGAGGAAACCGCTAGAGGAAAGCCAACGGTGCATTTTTGATTCTGGACGCCGCCATGATCCAAAGAAGCCTCAGAAAAGCAACGGGCGATACGTGTCACCGCGGAAACCGCTTGGAGAAAACCAAACGTAATCGTTTGATTCTCGGCGCCAACATGAGCCTGGGAATCTTCAGAAGAAAAGCAGGTGACGCGTGTCACCACGGAAACCGCTTGAGGAAAACCAATGGTACATTTTTGAATCTGGACGCCATCATGGGCCAAGGGCGCCTCAGAAGAGCAGCGGGCGACAAGCCCCCGCGGGGGAGGAGGGGGGAGGCAAAGAAGGGGGCGTGGGGAACATGAAGATATACCGTTGCCGGGTCAAAACTGACACAAGATCGGGGAGAAGGCGACAACCCAAAAATCTGCAAGGATGCCCAAGGGGCCGTGCAACGCCATTACGCGGCAAGAAACGCGCGGGGATGCGCCCGCCCAAACGAGAACATGGGCAAGGATACGGAAGGATCCCCAAGGGTACCCTTGCCTCCCCCATCCCTGCGACGCCGCCGTGCAACGGGCTTCAACCCCAAACGGCAAGGATGAATGTGCCGCCAAGGGTACCCTTGGACGGCCGAAGCAGCAGCCAAGGATGCCGGGAAAGGATGATGGCTTGACGTCTTATGGCTTGGGGCGCCTTAACCGCGTTAGTGGGCCAAATTTCCTGGTGGCACCACCTTTGATTGCACGGTGGGCGACCGCGTCCGTCGCGGTCGCGTTTCATGTTGTCTGCGGGCGGGTCCCGCCACTTGCAATTCAGAACCTGCGGCGCAGATTCCGTGACATTGCGGGTGGGTAGGATTCGTCCACCCTTGAGTCGCCTTTCACAGTTCTTGTCCTGCTCCACGACCCGCGCACCAGTGGTGGCGATGCATGCGGCCTGTAGCTGGGAGCGCGGCGAGGGCCGACAACGCAAAACAGAAGCCGACCCCGAACTGGCTACGCATGCTGGGCGTGTGTATCATTATCGCAGTGTCGCACGGGTCGAACATTGGAATGCCCCTGCACCCGTCCACTCAGCCTACCCCCCTATGACCCGCGCAATTACAAAAAATCAAGTAAAATTTTACTTGGCGTTTCAATTCTTGGGTAAATCAATTTCGTAGTGATGCAGCGGTATAAAATGTGCACCCTACAATTAGGTGACTATCTTGCTACTGCACTTCCCTCGTCAGAATTCGATGCTGGAACCCACCCCGCGGGCTGCTGGAACCATTGCCCTTCGTGAAATTAAAGTGAGTGCTGGAATCCCCCCTCTTGTCGGCATAAGCTCCCGGAACCACTTTCCCTGGTAAAAAATGAGGCGCTGGAGCCCTACCCCGCTGAGGGCCTGAAAAAATAACATAGGGCCAGGGAGGGGGGTGGTGGGACGGGGCCCAGGGGTGGGGGTCCTAGCATTGTGGTCACGCCTCGCGTTCAAACGGGTGCAGTGCGTGCGCGTGCGCGCACGTGCATGCGCGTGTGCATGAGCGTGCGTGTGCGCGTGCGCGAGCCCGAGCCCGAGTGCGACCCCGAGCCCGAGCCCGAGCGCGAGCGCGAGCTAGAGACCCAGCCTGGGTCCGAGCCCATCCGGAGCGCGTGCGCGCGCGCGTGCGCGTGTGCGTGCGTGTGCGCGCGCGTGTGAGTGCGCGCGTGCGTGCGCGTGCGCTTCCGATGTGCTAACGGTCAGCACATCGGAAGCATGTAACCTTACCTACGCAGATCCAAGGCCTCGTTACCCCCAAACTCGCGGCCCGTGGAGGCCCCGCCCCTTCGTGGATACATCCGCGGACGGATGAGGGCTACCCCGGAAACCACCCAAATTCCATACCCTGCAGCTAAGAGGACGGTGGACTACTATGCTAACCTGCGATTAAGCATTCCACTGCCAACCGTAGTCGCCTTACTGGGGTACATCGTTTACCCAAGATCGTGGCCGCCCAGGCCAAACGTAGCCGGCACCAGGGCGAAAACGCGTTCCGTGAGCAAGGCGTGGGGACGTCTCGGGCCAGACGGCTGCCGGACCGTGCTGGACAAGGCGTCCTCGGGGTCCCCGTCCTCCCTGGTGTGACTCGAGCTCTGCGCCGGTTTCCTTGGGGTGACCCAAAAGGGGGTCCAGCTGAAAGGGGGTGGTGAAACAGATTTGGGGCAATGTATTGTAAATGGAATGCGCAGGAGACTTGTACTTCATTGTATTGCAAGTAACGTGCTGCGCGCGAAAATACAACAATAAATTTGCGCCCCGAAACGTATTGCACGCCCCAAATGTATTGCAATCCCAAAAATATATTGCACCAGATCTACTGTACCACCCCCTTGTCGCTGGACCCCCTTTGGGGTCAACCCGATTTCCTGGATCTGCGCCCGGGCCCCCCCTGCGCGGTGCTCCGGATGCCTATTTTACGCACGTGCTCTTCACTGAGACTGAGGGAAACACCCCAGGCCCGAAACAAAGCAATCCTCCGGATGCCTGGAGTCCTTCTGCCCCCCGACGATTCCCCTCGTTACCTTCTGACTGACTGCACTACACACACACGACAAGATATCGTGCCATAAGACGACCTTAGAACGCACTCTCCGTCGATCTTTGCGGATCCTGGGGTGCCCTAGAGTGCACGGCTGAAGAAGCAGGTCTAGCGGGGCACACCAGGCGGTCGATGAGCCACTCCCTCCTGGCGTCCTCCAGCGGGAGCTCCCTGGAGGCCTCGCGGCCAGAATGTCTCGTGGCCTTCCTCGTCGCCTCTGGTCACCATCGCCATCATAGCGGTCGTCGATGCCGCCATAATCATCCTTATCATCACCACCATCCACCACCGCCACCACCCATCATCATCAGCATCACCACCACCATCATCATCATAATAATCATCATCAGCATCATCGCCATCGTCATTCTCAACATCATCATCGTCATCGTCATCCTCATCCTCGTCGTCATCATCAGCATCACCATCATCGGCATCATCGTCACCATCATTATCATCATCATCATCATCTCTACCATCGTCTTTATCGTCATCACCATTATCATAACTAGCACCACCACATTTATCAACACCACCACTGCCACCATCACAATCACTGACGTAATCACACTTATCAACGACATCATCGTCATCATCATATCATCATCGTCGTCACCATAACTGTCATCATTGTCATCATTGGCATCGTTGTCATCACCATCATCGCTATTATCGTCGTCATCACCGCCATCGTCAACACCATCGTGATCATCATCACCACAAGCATCACCATGCTGATCATCATCGTCATCATCATTGTCGTCATCATCATCATCATCATCAGCATCATCATTTTCATCCCTGTCATCATTGTCATCATCACCATCATCATCACCATCGGAACCATAATTACATTCATCCTCACAAACATCATCCTCGTCATCGTCTTCATCGTCACTACCGTCATCTCAACTACAACCAACCACCACAATTATCACCACCATTGTCATCATCATCATCACCATCATCATCATCATCATCGTCATCGTCATCATCGTCATGGTCATCATCATCGTCATCATCATCACGACAGCCAGCATCTACATCGGAATCATCATCATCATGAGCTTCGTCATCGTCTTCGTCACTGTCGTCGTCATCGTCATCGTCATCGCAAACAGCATCGACATCACCTAATCCTCGCCGTGACCATCATGCTTGCAGACACAGCCTCTAAAATCGTCGTCATCGGCGGCATCGTCATCATCATCATCACCATCTTCATCATCATTTTCATCATCATCATCATCATCATCATCAGCATCGTCATCGTGACCGGTGATGTCACAGTGACAGCACCATCATCATTACCATTATCATACACCTCCCCGTCATAGCTGCTGTCACAAGGCCGCCTCGCACGGACTTCGCGGCTGCCCTGCAGGCGGACCGCCCGAACCTGAAACTGATGGCATCACGGGCAGCGGATCGACCGAGCCTGCTGGGACTGAAACTTGACGCACACGTTTCAGCATGGACGAACCGACATCCTCCTCCTCCTCCTCCTCCCCTCCTCCTCCTCCTCCTCCTCCTCCTCCTTCTCCCCTATTCCGTCCCTCATTATCTCCTCCTCCTCCTCCTCCTCCTCCTCCTCCTCCCCCTCCTCCTCAGCAGGATGAAACGTTTGATCATTGACCAAATAAAGAAAAGCATCTCCGACGATGTGATTGTGGCCGACCGGCGGCTTCTGGCCCTCGGGGGCCGCTGTCGGGCCGCGGACGAAAAACTACCCCCGTGAGAAGGGGATCGGGAACTTTGGGGTCGCTGATTGAAGCAGAAACACATCGTCGGATGTCTGGCAAGAACGAACTGGAAGCGGGAAGCGAGGGGGGCAGAGAACAAGAGCGAAGACAGTTGCAGCGGACAGAGGAAGAACAGATAATCAGCAAGAGAGGGACAAATAGAAGTGCCAAGGAGAGGCGCACGGGAAGCCGAAAGCACGGCAAGAAACAGGACGACAATGCAACACCTGCCGACCAAGCCAGCGATCATCTAGAATTCGAGTCAAACGCCGTCTTACGCTAAGCATGGCGCATCTTCCCCCTTCTCCTCCTTCCCCTCCTCCTCCTCCTGTTCCTCCTGCTCCTCTCTCCTCATCCTGCTCTTGGTCATCCTCCTGCATGAACCGTCTAGAGCCCCGTCGATCCAAGCACCCCCCGAAACACAACCCCCTCCTCCCCCTCCTTCCTCCTCAGTGTCCTAAAATTCCTCCCTCTCCCCCTCCTCTCTCCTCCCTCCTCCCCCTCCTCCTCCTCCTCCTTCTACTCCTCCTCCTCCTCCTCGGTTCGGTGCGGTTCGGAAGAGCGCAAGGGGTTCAAGGCGCACACACGGGTGAGACGAGAGCAACGCAGGAATAACGGCAGAGACAGGCATCCCGCTTCCGGCGCCGTGGGGCGCATCCCTCCCTGCGAGCGAGGGGCCGTCAACAACAGGGAACGATCATCCACAACAAAAAGACACCAACGAGAAAAAGGAAACGGAAATACCATACAATCAGGAGACGAAGAATATTCCCCATAAGCACGGGCCAACTTACTGCCAAAGGCGCCGGAACCCCAACTGGGGCATTGCACCACATTCTCGGGGCAGTGCCACAAGGAGGAATGCCTAAGAATCGGCCTTGGCCGAATCAAAACCTCCCCCTAGAGTGCGTTGTTTCACGGACTGCGTGCAACTATTCGCACGGCGTCTGCGCACCCAAGAGCACACAACGAGATGACATGCCTGCACACACACGCACACACGAGTCGTGCCCGTAGTCGTACCCGTAGTCGTCGTACTCGTCGTAGTAGTAGTAGTAGTAGTAGTAGTAGTAGTAGCAGTAGTAGTAGTAGTAGAAGTAGTAATAGTAGTAGTAGGAGTTGTAGTAGTATTAATTATACAACCGTAATCGTGGTGGTAGTAGTAGTAGTAGTAGTAGTAGTAGTAGTAGTAGTAGTAGTAGTAGTAGTAGTAAAGGTAGTAGTAGTAGTAGTAGTAGTAGTAGTCGTGGGCATAGTAATAGTAGCATTAGCCGGAATCGCAGTAGTAGTAATAATAGTCGTAGTAGCCGGAGCAGTAGTCGCAGCAGTCGTGGCGGATGTGGTAGTAGTACTAGGTAGCGGTAGTAGTAGTAGTAGTAGCAGCAGTAGTTGTAGTAGTCGTGGTAACTTTAGTGGCAGCGGAAGTAGTAATAGCAGGGCAAACAGTAGTAGCAGTAGTAGTAGTAGTAGTCGTAGTCGTAGTCGCAGTCGTAGTTGATGTAGCCGGTGTAGTAGTAATCATATGAATAGTTGTCGTGGAAGTCGTACTTGAAACAGTAATTTTCGGAAAAGTACTGGGAGTAATCGTGGAGGTAGTCCAAATAGTGGTGGCAGTACAAGTACCACTGCAAGTCGTAGGAGTAGCAAAAGTACTCGTAGTCGTCGTGTCGTCGTTGTAGTAGTCGTGGTACTCGTAAAAGTCGTCGTCGTAGTAGTAGTACTCGTAGTAGCGGTAGTAGTAGTAGTAGTAGTAGTAGTAGTAGTAGTAGTCGTGGAACAAAAGAAGTAGTAGTAGCTGTGATAGTGATAATAGTAGTAGTAGTAGTAGTAGTAGTAGTAGTAGCAGTAGTAGTAGTAGTAGTAGTAGTAGTAGCAGTAGCAGTAGCAATGGTAGTAGTAGCCGTCGCAATCGACATAGAAGTCGTCGTAGCAGTTGTAGTAGTAGTTGTCTCAGTAGTAGCACTAGTAGTAGTAGTAGTAGTAGTAGTAGTAGTAGTAGTAGTAGTAGCAGTAGTAGTGGTGGTGGTAGTAGTAGTAGTAGTAATCGTGGTAGTAGTAATAGTAGCAGTAGTAGTAGTAAGAGTAGTAGTAGTAGTAGTAGTAGTAGACGCAGTCGCCGTAGCCGTAGCCGTAACAGTGGTCGCAGTAGTGGTAGTAAGACTAATAGCAGTAGACGTAGAAGTAGTAGTAGTCGCAGTCGTAGCAGTCGTAGTAGTAGTTGCTGTAGCTGCTGCTGCCGAATAAGTAAAAGTCGTGCGAATGGTAATTTCAGAAAATTAGCAGTAGACGTAGTAGTAGTAGTCGTAGTCGTACGTGCCGTCGCCGTCGTACTCGTCACCATAATGGTAGTAAGAACACTGGTAGTGAGGATAGTGGTGGAAGTAACAATGATAATACTACTAGTGGCCGTAGTAGCAGTAGCAGTAGCGGTGATACTAATAGTGGTAGCCGTAGTGGTAGTAGTAGTAGTAGTAGTAGTAGCAGCAGTCATCGTAGTAGTCACAGTAGCAGTGGTAGTAGTAATACGAAAGGCAGCAGTAGTAGTAGCAGCAGTAGTCGTAGTAGTGGTAGTAGTAGTAGTAGTAGTGGTAGTAGTAGTCATAGTAGTAATCATGGAAATAATAAGAATAGAAGGGGGAGGGGTAATAGTAGTAGTCGTGGTGGTCGCAGTCGTAATGGTAGTAATAATAGTGGTTGTCATAGTAGCGATAGTTAGAATACTGGTTGTAGCAGTACCCGTAGTAGTAAACATAATAATGAAGGCAATCGTGGTAGCCGTAGTTGTGATATCCATACGAGCCGCAATAGGTAGTAATAGTAGTAGCTGTAGTAGAAGAAGTACGAGTAATAGTAATAGCAGAAGTGGTAGCAATCGTACTAGTAACGGTGGTAGTAATAATAGTAAGGGTAGTTGTGGTGGTAATAGTAGTAGTCGTCGTCGCCGTCGTCGTGATAGTTGTAACCGTAACCGTAGTAGTCGTATGCGCAGTAGTAACTAAAGTTTCTACAGCTGCAGTTGTAGTAGTAGAACATGTAGTAGTGATAGTAGCAAGAGCAGTAGAAGTAATAGTAGTAGTCGTCGTAGTGGTAGTAACAGTAGTAGTCGTAGTAGAGTCGTAGTAGTAGCAGTAGTACTAGTAGTAGTCGTAGTAGTAGTCGTAGCAGTAGTAGTAGTAGTAGTAGTAGTAGTAGTCGTCGTCGTCGTGGTGGTAGTAGTAGTAGTATGTAGTAGTAGTAGTAGTAGTAGTAGTAGTAGTAGTAGTAGTAGTAGTAGTAGTAGTAGTAGTAGTAGTAGTAGTAGTAGTAGTAGTAGTAGTATGTAGAAGTAGTAGTAGTAGTAGTAGTAGTAGTAGTAGTAGCAGTAGCAGTAGTAGTAGTAGTAGTAGTAGTAGTAGTCGTCGTAGTCGTAGTCGTAGTAGTAGTAGCAGTAGCAGTAGTAGTAGTAGTAGTAGTACTAGTAGTCGTAGTAGTTGTTGTTGTGGTAGTTAGTGGCCGTAGTAGTCATAGTGGTAGAAGTAGCATTAGTAGTTGTAGTAGTAGAAGAAGGAGGACGAGGAGGAGGAAGAGGTGAGGGGGGAAGAGGAGGAGGAGGGGGAGAGAGAGGACGAGGAGGAGGGGGAGGAGGAGAAGGAGGAGGAGAAGGGTATCATGCCACGAAATTCAAACACACACCACACATACAATATACCCATTCAAGTACCAAACCTGTACAATCAACTTGGTACTCGACGTCCCTTCCTTCCGTCAGTTCTGGAGACGAAACAAATACGTCTGAAGAAGAAAATACTCCTGATCAAGAAGTGCTCCTGAAGAAATGAGATACTTACGAGGACGAAAGAAATACTCCCGAAGAAAAACGAAGTTTTGCTGAAGCACTTCTGGAGAAGGAAAAAGTGCTTCTGAAGAAGAAGGACGTGCTACTGAAGAAGAGAGGCATACTTCTGAAGGGGAAAGGAGTACTCCTGAAGAAGAACAAAATGCTTTTGAAGAAGGAAGAAGTACTCCTGAAGAGGGACGAAGCACTTCTGAGGAAACTTCTGATATAAGTACTTCTGAAGAAGAAAGAAGTACTTCTAAAGAAGGGAGACGTCCTCCTGAAGCAGAGGGAAGTGCTCCTAATGAAAAAAGAATTAGTTTTGGAGAAGGACGAAGCACTTCTGAGGAAGCTTCTGATATGAGCACTTCTGAAGAAGAGAGAAGTAATTCTGAGAAGGAATCAGCCGGGATTGGTCCCAGTAAACCGGTATTGGTATCCATTCCGGGGGCAATCTCCTCCTCGCCCTCGTCCTCCTCCCCCCTCCCTCCTCCGACTCCCTCGCTCGCCCGCGCGCCGGGGCCCGCGTCCGAAGACGCCCTGCCTGTTCGGAGGCTGACGCCACGGAGGTCATGCAAGGGGGCATGGGGTCACTCCCCAACGACGGACGACGGAGCCATAGCAAGGAAGGCCACGACAGGACGACAGATGACGGATTCGTCGTCGGCCTCCTCCCCCTCCTCCGCCATCATCATCATCATCATCAGCAGCAGCAGCAACAGCGGCATCTTCACCACCCCTCATCGCCCTCATCATCACTATCATCAGCATCATCACAATCGTCAGCATCAGCATCATCGTCATCATCATCGTCATTACCATCATCTTCATCGTCAGCATTATCATCGTCGTCACCGTCGTCGTCATCATCACCACAATAATCACATCATCATCACAATCATCACCAACACCATCATAACCGTCGTCGGTATCGTTATCACTGTCGTCGTGAGCATCAGCATCAACATCCGCATCATCAGTATCAGCATCCGCATCCGCATCACCACGATCATGCTCATCATCCTCAGAATCCTCATCATAATCATCATCAGCATCACCATCATCATCATCCTCACCATCCTCATCATCATCACAAGCATCACCACCATCATCACCATCACCATCATCATCACCATCACCACCACCATCATCATCAGCATCAACATCCTCGTCATAACCACCATCACCAACACCATCACCATCATGATCATGATCAGCATCATCAGCATCATCATTATCGTCATCCTCATCATCACCATCAACATCATCATCGCCGTTGTCGTCATCGTCATCGTGACCGGCACCATCAACATCATCATCACCATCATCAGCAGCATTACCACCATCAGTACCACCATCATCCTCAACATCATCCTCATCCTCATCCTCATCATCGTCATCATCATCATTCTTCCTACTCCTCCTCCGACCCCCTCTTCCCCATGGCCTTCATCTCCGCCTTTCCTCCCGACCGGCTCGCCTCGACGTGGGAGGTGGAGAATCGCAAGCCGCGGGTGCGGCACATCTTCTCGAGCTGCGAGAAGTGCTGCTTGCGCCAGTCCTCGGGCGGCCACTGCCAGCAGTAGGAGAAAAACGATGAGGAGGAGGAGGAGGAGGAGGAGGTGGAGGAGGAGGAGGAGGAGGAGGATGGGGAGTCGCCGTCGTCGCTGTCGGCGTCGCCGAGGATTACCAGGCTCGTCATAGGCTTACAAGGGCACCTGAACTTCTTTAGGGATTGATAGGTCATCGGCGAATTAGTGGAAACTGTGGGGCACCTTGCGGGAAAGCAGCCGCGAGACCGAGGTTCGGATAGGCTTCTGCTCTAGCCACTTGGACGACTTCGAACACGGTGTGTGTATTGATCCAGTTTTGATCGGTGATGGGGAAGCTTCGAATACGTTGGGTTTCGACCTATTCGTTCGTACTCACTCGGTGCGAGAGTTTGGACGACGTCGGAATAGTTGTGCGAGCACTCCCTAGAGTGGGTATGGAGGAGGAGGGGGAAGACAGGGACGAGACGCAAGCAGATGAGGATGATGAGGGGGGGGGGGCGAGACGCAGACGCGGTGGAGTAGACGGAGGACACGGAGAAAGAGGAGGAGGAGGAGGAGGAGGACGAGGAGGAGGTGGAGGAGGAGGAGGAGGAGGTTTCTCTTCCTCCCCCCCTGCCCCCTCCCGGTTGCAGTGAGAGGCGCTGCTGCGCCGCGCCCCTGCGTGCCGACCTTTTCACGGAGCTCATGCTCGCCATGCTTCTCCTTGGTTCCGCGTCGCTCCTCCTCGCTCCTCGCTGCTCCTCGCTCCTCGCTCCTCGCTCCTCCTCCTCCTCCTCCTCCTCCTCCTCCTCTTCATTATCCTCGCTCCTCGTTCCTCCTCCTCCTCCTTGCTCCTCCTCCTCCTCCTCCTCCTCCTCCTCCTGCTGCAGGTGGTATCACTCATTTACTGTCACGAAGGCCACGCCGCCCGAGCTGGGTCCCTTCCACTCTTCTCCTTGTGGCGCCGACGGCACGGCCTCGCGGCTGCAGCCCATGCAGCGCAAGCAGTAGCGCCCGCCCCACAAAGGAAGAGGCGGAGGGGGGAGGCCGAAGGGGGGGCAAGCGACCGACCGAGACCCAAGAGAACACACCTCACGAAAGGGAGAACCTGGGAAGCAGCAGCGGCGCCAGGAGCCAGGGCTTCGGACGCCCGACATGGGTACGGAAAGAGTGGGTACAATGCCCAACAACAAATGTTGTCCCGAACCAGCAGCGGCCGCTGTTGGGCAGGCGGCCTCCTGTCTCGAATGGACACAGGCCGCGGCGGCGTGGACAGCGAGCCCTGTTCAAAATGAGCAGGAACTGCTGTTGGGCACTGTACCCATTCTTTCCGTACCCATTTTGTTCGTGCAGAACCATTTGGCCAGCCCTGTGAGAAACTATAAGTGCCGATACTGCTACTCCACGGACCTCCCCCAGGGTGGGTTCTAACAGAGATTTCGAGGCGCATCCGGCCGTGGCGATGAGGGCCTCCCGGGAGACCCAGAAAGGCTAAAACGAAGCGAGAGTGGCAGCATCGGTACCTTCTCCTCCTCTGAGCCTGGCGATGCCCTCGGTGATCCCTGTGTCTCACTGCAAACCTTCGGAGGGGAGGGGGCGGTCGGAGACTTTCGCTTAGCGTGTCGCGGCGGCGGCCCCAGCGACTCGCTATAACCTGCAAGCGGATAGCGTGTCGCTCCGCTCCGCGGGGCGGGAGGCTCGAAGAAGCTCGGGACGTTGACGCTCGGGGACTGGGATGCGGTTAGCAAGTAGGGTGAAGCGTGATGGACCAGAACCAGCGGCGCAACACGCTAAGCTGAAGTTCCTGAGCATAATTGCGACTCGCACTCTATCGATTGTTCTGTAACGTTAGTGCCACCGCAATCCTGATGGAACAATCGGCGAGCGCACGATCCAAACGAATGCCCTGGGGTATCCCGGCGGCCCCACGGAAGCACCGACAGCCTGGACAGGCCCGTAGTCTGACGCAGTTGTCCCTGATCGCGCCCGCGAGGGCCTCCCATAGGGGAACGAAGAATGCCATAAACATAAAAACGCGGAGGTCCGCGCGGATTTCTCGGATCCGCGCTGACTTCAGACCTTTTATGTTTATGCCATTCTCCTTTCCCCTATCCCAAGGACCTTGGCACGAAGCAACCGGGCCACGATGACACGATGAGCATCGTTTATCCGACCCCTATCCCCAGCGGCGTGGCCTGGGCCCCACTGGCCCATTTACCCCCCTAGATGGGGATACAGGCCGTTCCCTTCGGGTTTCGAGGGGCATATCCCCAGCTGGGGTGGTAGCATGGTGGGGCTGAGAAACCATTGCTCAGTGGGGATGGGGATAGGTTCAACGATGCTGATGATCGCGCCCTCGAGGGCCTTCCAAGGACCTTGGCACGAAGCAGGCGGGCCACGAGGCGAACGGGCCCTGGACCATGCCTGGGCCATGGGGGCCTTCCCCTGGGACCGGCCTCTCCTCATCCTGAGCAGCTCTTTGTGGAGGTTTTCTCCGAAGGGCTCAGGCGACCCGTCCTCCTCCTCCTCCTCCTCCTCCTCCTCCTCCTCCTCCTCCTCCTCCATCTCCTCCATCTCCTCCATCTCCTCCTCCTCCTCCTCCTCCTTCTCCTCCTCCTCCTCCTCCTCCTCCTCCACCACTTTTCCTCCTCCTCCTCCTTTTCCTCCTCATCTTCCTCCTCCTCCTCCTCCTCCTCCTCCTCCTCCTCCTTGGGTCGCATACGGCCCCGGGGGAAGCCGTGCAGTTTTTTGACAGCCCCAGGGCAAGCGGAGGGCACCGGGAGCCCCAGAACGGCAAAAAAGCTATAGGGCCTGTTTCCCTCAGCCGAGGAAAACATATTAGCCAGCGTGGGCCCAAAGCAGTGTGCTCCCAGCGGCCGATGTTGAACAAGCTATGTTGAGCAATCTATGTGGTGCAACACATGTGTTGTGCAAGGTATGTTGTGCATGGTTGCGTCATGTACGTTGTGAAACTATGTGATGCAATATATGTGGTGTAATGTGTGGTGCCATCCGTGTGGTGCGCAATCTATGTGGTGCAATCTATGTCGTGCAGCCTATGTGGTGCCATCTGTGTGGTCCGCAATATATATACATGAATATATGTACACACATATATATATATACATGTTTATGTATACATATATATATATATATATATATATATATATATATATATATGCGGTGCAATCGACGTGATGCGCCCTACGTGGTGCAACATAGGTGGTGCGTGTGTTTTTTGTCCCGACCCTCCGTGTTGGGCTCTCGTCTGCAAAAGAGGACTGGCCTCCGCCTCTCCCGCCTCCCGCTTCCCCCCTGCCTTCCTCCTCCTGCCGTCTGCTTCCTCCTCCTCCTCCTCCCTGCCACGCGCATCCAGCCGAGACCTCGCTGCTCCCCGGGTCGCTGCTCCCCGGGTGGCTGCGAACTGCGCAGCCGTCGCCGCGTTCGTGGGCTCCTGGGAGGTCCAAGCGGAGTCGGGGGGCCCACGCGCACCCGGATGGGAACCTCGCAGCTCCCCGGGTGGCTGCGAACTGCGCAACCGTCGCCACGCTTTCGTGGGCTTCTGGGAGGTCCAGCGGAGTCGGGGGCCACGCGCATCCAGCCGAGACCTCGCAGCTCCATGGGAGGCTGCGAACTGCGCAACAGTCGCCGCGTTCGTGGGCTCTTGGGGAGGTCCAGCGGAGTCGGGGGGCACGCGCACCCGGACGGGAACCTCGCAGCTCCATGGGAGGCTGCGACCTGTGCAACCGTCGCCACTTTCGGGGGCTCTTGGGGAGGTCCAGCGGAGTCGGGGGGCACGCGCACCCGGACGGGAACCTCGCTGCTTCCTGGGGGGCTGCGACCTGTGCAACCGTCGCCACTTTCGGGGGCTCCCGGGGGGGGGGGGGTCCAGCAGAGTCCGGGGGCATGCAAACCCAGACGGGACCTCGCTGCTCCCGGGGCGGCTGCGAACTGCGAAACTGCGAAACTGCCGCCACGCTTTCGTGGGCTCCCCTGGGAGGTCCAGCAGGGTCGGGGGCCACGCAAACCCCTTTGAGACCTCGCTGCTCCATGGGTGGCTGTGAACTACGCAACTGTCGAAACTTTCATGGGCTCCTGGAAGGCACGGCAAAGAGGAGGGCAGCGCAGATCGTGCATATCTGGCGATGTGTTGTTTTGTACGATGCCTTTATACAAATGTTAGCCTCGCGTGGAGAAGGGATGGGTATGTCTCGGGTCTTTTTGTGTTGCAGTGCCCCCCCCATTCGTGGAAGCCCGCTTGAAAAAAATCCCCCCGCGCCAGGAGGGTGCGCGGCCGGCGTATTGCGCAGACAAAGAAGATTCGTTCAGGGGTCAGGTGCGCAAGGCGAGATGCCCGACGGGGACACTCACTCAACGCTTGCCCATAGAGGCGTCACGGTTGGTCATGTGGTACTGCCTGGCCGGGGGCAAGTTGGCGAACGTCTTCAGCTCCGACTTCTCCATGTACTTGGCGTACAGCGTCTTCACCTTGTCCGTCTGCCCGTCTGCGGCGGAATCCAGGAGGTCCTCGGAGATCTCGGTCTGCGCGGCGAAGTCCTTCGGCTGGTTGCGCCAGTACGTGTTGAGCATCTTGAACTTGTTCTCCTTGGCCAGGACCGCTTTCATGTCGCCAGCGTCGATGGCGCTCTGCAGCTTGATGATGGCGGGGGCGTACCTTGGCGGCGCGCAAAGGGGGGTAGGGTAGGGGGAGGGGGGAAGGCTTCTTAGAAGCACCCTGCTTCTTAGAAGGCCTCGGCTCTACGTCTATAGAGAAGGCCCGCGCCTTCTAAGAAGCAGGGGTGCTTCTAAGAAGCCTTCCCCCCTCCCCCTACCCCCCTCTGCGCGTTGCCGAGTACCTCTTCATGCAGGTCACCGGCTCGCCCTGGAAGTCGGCCAGCGCCGTCTCGCCGCCGGCCGCCGCCAACAGCACCGCGGCCGCGCCCATGGCCGCCTCGCGGCGCCCCGGCGGCGGGGCCGCCGCGAGGAAGGCGCCCGGCGCGGGGCCCGCGAGGGCCGCGAGGCACGCGGCCGCGAGGGCGTAGGCGCCCGCGCAGGCGGCGCACAGCGGCAGGAGCCTGGCCATGGCGAGGGTCGGTCGGGGAGGCCTCAGAGGGTCGGCAGGACGTGCGACGGAGGCAGGCGGGTGCCAGGGCCAAAACGCTTCGAGCAAACATGATGACATGACATTCTTCGTGGTGCTATGTGCGTGCTACAATCTGTGTGGTGCAATCGACGTGGTGCAGCATGTGGTGTGCGAACTGCAGTGTGCCATAGGTATGGCGCCATGAATTTTGTTGCCAACTGCGTGGTGCAGCGTATGCGGTGCAGTCTACGGGGCGCAACCAATCTCTGTTCGCAGTGAGTTGTCCACTCCACTGCTCGCGCAAACATCCCACCCACCCACCCGCAACTTGGTCTGCAAAACCTCTTAAGACCGTGACGGTGGGTACCACATGGCACTTGGCAACGACACCGACGCCGACGACGACGACGACAACGACGACAACGACGCCGCCGACGACCCGTAGCCATTTTGGCTCAAGGCCATGGCGATCCCGACGACCGCGAGTCCTTCGGGCGCCGTCGAGCGCGAGGGACGCCGCGCTTTGGGCCTGCTTCTTGCTTCGTTTTTTCGAGGCGGCGTGGGCAGGCGGAGCGCGCGGGGCCAGCAGCCATGTCGGGCGACGGAACTGGAGCGCCGCCACCCTGGAGGCGCAGGGTGTACTGGGTCTGCCAGTGCAAGGAGTGGAACTGGTGCGACAAGAGGGCGACCTGCAAGTCCTGCGGGAAGGAGGCGCCAGCGTGGGCGAAGCGCCTGCGCGCGATGCACCAGCCCCAGGCCGACGGGGAGGGATTCGTCCAGCAGCCCAGGGGGCGCTCGCACCAGCGTGCAGCGCGCCGAGCTGGTGAGGCCTCCAGGGCAGCCTCGGCCGCCAGCACCGTGCCGAGCAGCGCGCCCAACAGCAGGGTGCGGCCGCGGGGCGGAGCCAAGCCGCCGCCGTGGCGTGAGGAGCGCGAGGAGCAACCAGAGGAGCCCGCTGCGAGTCTGGAGCGCAGGCTCGAGGGAGCCCAGGCTCGCGTCTCCAGCCTCCGCGAGGCGGTCGCCACAGATGGGACCAGCGAGGCCTTCCAGCGAGAGGCCAGGGCGGCCCTCCTCGCAGCGGAGGACTCAGCCGAGAGGGCCGAGGCCGAGCTCCGCGAGGCCCAGCGGCTCGGGAGGCCCCCCCACGCCGTCCTCCACGGAGGCGCCAACGCCATGCAGAAGGTCGAGAAGCAGATCACTGCAACCAGAGCCAAGCGCGAGCAGGCCGTGCAGCGGGCTGAGGCCCTCAGGGAGGAGATTGCGGCGATGCAAGAAGAGCTGGCCGAGGCCGAGTCCGCGGTCGAGGACTTCGACAGCCAGCTCGGCAAGCTCGAGGAGTCGAAGGCTCAGACAGTCCAGCAGGCACTCCAGCGGGCCATTGAGGCGTGCGGAGGCCAGCGGCCCCTGGAGACCGCGGTCGGGGGCCTCGTCACCCAGGTCAACCAGTTGGGCGAGATGCTCGGCCCTAACTCGGATGGCGTCGCGCCCAGGCTCCTGGAGATCATGGACATCATCACCACGCAGAGCGCCGCCATCTCGGACATGCTCCACCCCGCTGCGCCTGCTGCCGCTGCCTCGCGCTGGGCCGACGGCCTTGGCGGGGGCGGGCTCGCCGTCGACGACGAGGAAGGCTTCCCCGCCCCTGCCGCTGGGGCCTCTGCCCCCGCGGAGCCGCGGCCGCCAGCGGAGGCCGCAGTTCAGCAGGTGCGACCAGGCCCGCCCACCCAGCGGGCGAGCCCTGCAGTGGGGCCCTACGGGCCAGCCGCCGCCCGCGGGCAGTCAGGCGCGGCGCTCGGCGCTTGGCCCCAGCCTGGCCAGGCCGAGCACAGGATCCTTGAGGATGCCAAGGACGAGCACGAGGACGGCCAGGCCTTGGCTACCCTGGCTACTGCTGGGGGCTACGCTCCTATGGGCCCTCGTCGCCCCTAGCCGCTCGGCTGCAGCGACAGCCTGGGGACCCGCGCCGCCGCCGCCGCCGTCAGACTGGCCGACCGTGCACCAGGCGCGAGGAGGGCCACGGCGGCAAGGCGGCCTCGCTCCTGGGCCGAGGTGCGGTCGGGGCCGCCGAGGCGTCCCCCCGACGGCCCCGTGCGGGCAGACGGCGGGAGGATTCTGCCCTCCGACGTCGCAGCCGTCTGCCCCGCCCCATGGGAGTCGAGGGGCCCCCGCGGGGTTCACGCCAGCCGCCCTTGAGGCGAGAGTGGGCGGGGCTGTGCCGGCTTGTGAGAGGGCCGCCGCGCAGCTCCGTGCAGGCTTCGACGTGCTGGGCCTCAACGGCAACACATGGGACCGTGCCATGGAGGTGCTCGAGGCCTACATCGCGCGGGAGGGCGCGCGCCCGCACCTGGTCACGGTTCAGGAGGTCCGCCTTGGGCCCCGCCAGCTGGAGAATGCTCGCCGCCGAGCCCGCGGCTTGGGCTACGCGGCCTTCTTGCATGCTGCTGCGCCCACTGGACAGGCTGCCCTTGCCCATTCAGGAGGCGTCGGAGTGCTTGCCCGTGAGGACCTTCAGGCGCGGGAGGCTCAGTGGCGAGTGCCAGGGGACTTCAAGCACCGCGTGATCGCCGTCAGGGTGAAGCATGAAGCTGCTGTCTTGCTCCTTGTACCTGCAGGATGGCCTCGGGCCCAAAGGTGTCAACTTGGACATCATCGGAGCCCTGGGGGACCTGGTGCTGACCGAGGGGCTGCCTTGGCTCGTGCAAGGCGACTTCAACATGGAGCCTGGGACCCTCCACGAGTTAGGGTGGCCAGCCCTTCAGCGAGGTGCCTACCTTGGGCCAGCCGGGCCCACATGCATGAGCCGCAGCGGGTGTACGAATGGTTCGCGAGCTCTTTCTGCCTCTCCCACGGGGTCGCCAACGCCGCCGCCCTGGACGGCTACGCGTTGCACCCGCGCAAGCCAGTCCGACTGCGGCTGCAGGACCTGCGGCCAGATGCGCTGGTGCAAGTCCTGGTGAGGCCTGGCCGCTTCCCAGACGTGGAGGCCGCCGACTGCAGGGCCCATGAGGACGCCGTCGTGCAGGTGTTTCGGCGCAGTGGGCGAGCTCAGTGGCAGGCCGAGGCCTGCAGCTGGAGCTGGGAGGCAGGCGCGGTGCCCCACGACCTGCCTGCTGCAGCGTGTGAGTGGACGGAGGCGGTCGAGGGCACGTTGGTGGGCATCCACGACATCCAGCCCGCCGCTCACAGGCGCTTCCTGGGCCGAGCCGCGGGGCCGAGGCGCGCCCTGTAGCCGATGAGCGCGGTCGCGAAGCGAGAGTACCGCTTCCGTCACTCCGAGTTGACCCACGCCATTCGGCAGGCCCTTGACCTGGCTCTGCAGAGGCTGGCCGCCGATAGGAGTGAGAGGTGGCGGCCGTCGCACGAGGGCTGGTACTCGCGCGAGGCGGAGCGCATCACGGGCCTCCTTGGGCTCGCCACGGCTGCGGCCCGCGAGGAGGAGGAGGCGGAGCAGCTCGCCTTCGACACCAGCGGGTGGAGCGACCTCGTCGGCCAGGCAGGAGTCCACGGCCACGTCGGCGCCATCGCGGAGCTCCAGCGACGGCTTTACAGCTCGCAGCGGCGCGACGGTCGTAACAGCTCCGCGCGGTGGCGCGCTTGGGCCAAGGAGGCCGTCCAGCGAGGAGGCAGGCTGGCGCACCGCTTTGCCAGAGCGGTGCCGCCTCCCCAGGTCGTCGATCCTGACACGGGCATGCCGCTGGCAGGTATGATAGCTATTGGGCAGCTGGAGGCCAACTGGCAAGCCCTCTGGCAGCAGGAAGGCTTCAAGGGAGGAGCCGACGTCGGCACCTGGGACGTCCAGGACTGGACCCTGCCTCCCATCACGCTCGACATGTTCCAGGCGACGTGCCGCCGCTACGCGCCTTCTGCAGGGCTCGGAGCAGACCAGCTACACCCTAGACAGCTGCTGCCCCTGCCGCGTGCCCTCCAGCTCCGCTGCCTGGACCTCCTCGCGGCGCGCGAGGAGCGGCCGCAGGCGCTGGGGGCCTTCGCGACGATGATCGTGTTCATCCCGAAGCTGGATGGGGGCATCCGCCCCATTGCCCTCATTCCGCCTCTTCTTCGGGTGTGGAGCCGTGTTCGGCAACCTACTTGTGCGCAGTGGGAGTCCACCCACAACTTCCAGTTCTTCTGGGGCAGGGAAGGCAAGGGCTGTGAGAAGGCGGGTTGGATGCACAACCTTCTTGCCTCGGCTGCCCGCCATGCCGGCTTTGAGGTTGGCAGCCTCTTCCTGGACATTGTGAAGTTCTACGAGAATATTCGGCATGACGTGTTCTGGAACTGCGCCACCGAGCACAATTTCAATCTTCGGTTATTGAGGGGGCTTTTGGCCTTGTATTAAGCCCCATCGCTTCATCTGTTTCGCGGGCCTGGTCTCCGACGACTTCAGCTCGCAGGGCGCCGTCCTCGCGGGCTGTGCGCGTGCTACTACGCTGGCCAATCTGCCGCTCCTCGGACCCCTTCGCGCCGTGTCTTCAGGAGGCCGCCTGCTCGTCATTGGCAGGAACGTCGTCGACGATGTGGCCCTTCAAGCACTGGGAACTCGTCGCCTTGTCGTGGAGCAACTTGGCGGCGCGGGAGCGGAGATGGCGCGGCAGCTCGGGGGCTTGCACCTCCCGCTCAGCGCCAAGAAGTCCGTGTACCTTGCGTCCTGCTCTGGCCTGGCCCAGGAGCTGGGCGAGTACTGGAAGGCGCGCGGCATGAAGTTCGAGAGAGCTCACCAAGCCCGCAACTTGGGCACGGATGCGAGCATCACGATGAGAGGAGTCCGCGAAGGGCGAGGGCGGGCGCGGGACGCGCTCCAGCGTGCGCGGCGCCTGCGATGCCTTCGAGCGGCAGGAGTCGAGGTGGACCTGATCCACAAGGCTGGGCCTACTTCCAGTATGGCATGGGGGCGGACGGTTACTGGCGTGGCCGACGGAGAGTTGCACAGTTGGCGAGTCACCGCGTGCCGCAGCGCTGGGCGGCCCCCCCGCGGCGCGGCCCTCGGCCTCAGGCTGCGGCGTGCGGAGCTCCGCAGGGGCCGCGACCTGGATCCGCTCGTGCTGATCACGGATCGCTCGCTCCAGATGCTGGCAGGGCTTTTGCACTCGGGCGAGCTCTCCCTGCCGATGCTCAGGGGCGAGCTCGAGGCTGCAGCTTCGCGGCAGGCGGCAGCAACGGCGCCCTGGGTGCACTGCAACTCCCCCGTGGATGCAGCTGTCCTCACCCTGGGCAGGATCGGCTGGCACTTCAGGTCCGAGCGGTGCCTCATCACGGACGTCGGGGGCGTGCTGGACTTGACGCTGTTGGGGCCGCGCGAGCTCGGCATTGAAGCCGGCCTTGGGGCGAGGCGCGCCTCGAATCGACGCGAGATGCAGAAGCTGGCCAGCGCCTCTTCTTTGCAGGGTTCTTTCTTCTGGGACGCCTTCAAGGAGCTCATCGGGCCAGGAGGCAAGTTCAGCGAGCGCGAGAGGAACGGGCTGGTCGCCTACCTCACGAACGCGCACTGGCCGCCGGCGAGGCTCCACGGCGCCCGCGAAAGCGGCCACGCCCGCTGCAGATGCTGCGGAGCCGCGCGGGGCACCCTCTGGCACAGATTGTTCGAGTGCCCCATGCTTGCGGCCCAGCGGAGGGACTCGGTCTCGCCAGCGCTGATGAGGAGCGCTGTGCGGGTCCGCGCCCAGGGAGAGGCAGCAGGGGGGGACTTCGCTCGGCGCTGGCTGCCAGCGCCGCCGCCTCCTCAAGGGCCTCGCACGGACGCCATGAGCGTCTGGTGGATACGCAGGCCTCCCGACGACAAGCTCAATGGCAAGTTGTACTTGGACGGCTCGGCGGTCGACCCGCAGTTCGGCTCCTTGAGGCGCGCGGGCTGGGCGATTGCTGCAATGCGACGACGACGGCAACCTCATCGCGGGCGTCTACGGGACCGTCAGGAGGGACCTCTGTCCACAACAAACCGCTCGTGACGCTGAGGACTTCGCGGTCTGGATGATGGTGAACTACGCGGGCCCTGCAGTCGAGGAGGTTAACATCGACTGCCACGGCACGGTCGAGTGCTTGCGTAAGGGGCTGGCCTATGCGACGGGCCCGACCAAGGCCAACGCCCACCTCTGGAGCAGGAGCCTCGCCGCCTTCGAGCCTGGCAGCTTCAGGGTGAACAAGGTGCCCGCCCACTGCAGCAGGCAGGCGGTGCTCGACGGGCGCCTCACGGAGGCGCAGTGGCGCGGCAACCTGCACGCCGACCGCCTCGCCAAGCTGGGAGCACGGCTGCGCGCCGTGGACGCCCAGACCGTGGGCGAGCACCGCGCCTTGGCGGGATTCGTCCAGGAGCTGGCCCGCTGGGTGGGCCAGGCGGCGGTCCTCTGGCAGAACATCGCGGAGAAGGACAGTGACAGCTTCCTCGAGTCCGACGAGAGGCAGCGGGTGAGGTTCGCCGACCAGGAGGAGCGGGCCGAGCTGCCCACTGCAGGCAGGCCGACGGCGCAGCAGCCGCAAGTGGAGAGCGTCCGCTCGGTGGCCAGCGCGGTTGGCCTCTCCATCACCACGGCTGGCATCTGCTACCTCGGCCACTCCCTGTCGTACGCGTGCTGCGACGTGGGCGAAGAGTCCCAGGAGCTGGTGGCGTGCGGCAAGTGCGGCGCCTACATGGTCCTTGGTGGCCGCTCTGGAGGCCGCCCAAAGCTCAAGGAGCCGTGCATCGGCGAGAGGGCCACTGGGCAGCGCAGCCAGCGCCGCCTCTGGGCTCGAGGGCTACACCCGGCCGGGTGGACGACCACGCGGAGGAGACCAGCAGCGCAGGGAGAAAGGGGTTGAAATCCCCGCGCTGAGGCTGCAGGGGCCACTGCCCCCAGCGGCCCAAGAGGCCTTCCTGGCCTGGCTGGGCCTCGAGGGCGAGGAGGCTCCCTCGGCAGCAGGTGGCAGCTCAGCAGCAGCGACGGGAGGAGCAGGCGGCTGCGAGCAGGTGCCAACGACGCGGCCGACGGCGGCAGTGCAGCAGGTGGCGGCGGGCAGCGCCCCGTGGGCCGCCATGCTGGCCGCGTACGGCCTGGACGAGCAGGACCTCGCCGAGCGGGTGCTGTCCGCCAACGCCGCCGTGGAGGACCGCCGCGTCCGCCCGCGGCGCGGCCGCGGCCCGCGCCCTGGCGGCGAGAGCTCGGGCGAGTAGGCTGCTCGCCTGGAGTCGCCTTCATGGCCCCGCGAATCGAATCGACGCCGCCGACGACGACTATGACGACACCGACGACGTCTCCAACGACTTCGACGACGCCGACAACGACGACGACGACGACGACGACGACGACGACGACGGCGACGAAATAGGAGGGACGACGACGAAACGCCGACGAAGACGACGAGGGAGGAAGGACGACCATGGCGACAACGACGACGGAAATGACGACGACGCCAAGACGACGACGACGACGAGAAAGACAAAGGACGACGACGGCGACGACGACGACGACGAGGAGGGAGGAGTGAGGACGGCGACGACGACGACGACGACGCAAGAGCGCGCGCGCACGCTTTTGTTGAAAGTCCGTGTTGCGGAACCTTTTGTGTTTGTATGTTGTTTGGGACACTCGATTTTGAAATCCTTCCGAAACCGAAGGTTTTTTTCAAGGATTCCGGCATGCGCACGCGACGACACGCGCGTGCGCACTTCGTCCCGTTGTTTGCAAGGGATTCTCGCGACGGCACGCGCGCAAAGGCGTTCGAAAGATTTCGACATGCGCGCGCGAAGCCCGTTTGGTAGCATGTCTAGAAAATCTGGAATGACCAACGATTTTCTTCAGATTCCGCAAGAGCGCGCGCATATTTTTTTGCATAATCAATATTGCGAAACCATGGTTTTTATATGATGTTTGGAAAGTCGGTTTTGAAGTCCTTCCGACATCGTTGGTTTTTGAAAGATTCCGGCATGCGCGCGCGACGACGCGAGCGTGCGCACTTCGTCCCCATTTGTTGCCAGGGATTCTTGAAAACTTATGATTCTTGATAAGCGAGAGTGCGCGCATAGCATTTGTTGCAAAGGATGGCGGGTGGGAGGTGATACCGGTTTGGCTGGGATCGTACGAGCTCCTATTTAGGATGGACGATGGGGCATAAACGTATGCAAATTGCAATTCGAAAAGGTGTATCGTTAATTCCGGGGGGGGTCCATTCTTCTTTTAGAGAGGAGAATATGTGTTATGCTATCTACGTTGCGCAGACCATGTAGTGTATCGACGTGATGCAATCTATGTGGTGCACACTATGTTATGCTGTTCACCCTGTCGAATTTGAAGTTGTTGCTTCCGATGCTTGCGCAATCATCCCACCCACCCACCCACCCACAAATTGGTTTGCAAAACCCATGCAGCGGTGATTGCGATGACTGCTTGGCGCTGCTGGCACATTGTTGCGATCGCGCTAGCGCGCACAGGCTGGCGCACAGAGCGGCCATCTAATCTAGCGCGACCGACGCGGCCAAGGTGGCGCCGACCGCTTGGCACTTCCAAACGCGTGTCGCGCGCTGGCCCGCGGGCACTTCAGTGCGAGTCGGTGATTCGGGCGGGCGCGGTATCATGGCGACGTCGACAAGGGCACACACGGTGATGATAGTAGCGACGCTGGTGACGACGATGACGATGACGACGGCAAGGCCAATGAAAGCGAGGATGATGATCACGTCGGTGGCGATGATGGTGTCCACGTGTCGGTAGTGAAGGTTCCGGCAGGATTTCGGCATGCGCACGCGGCCGACGGGCGCGAGTGGCCCGCATGGCATGATGATGTGCCAGGGATCGCACCCCCCCAACACGCTGGAAAGGGCGTTAGAATGAATTCGATCTGCGCGCGCGAAAAGTCCGTTTGGTCGCCTTGCATGGCCATGTTGAAATTAACCTGGCGAAGGACCCAACCATATGCAGTTGTGCGTACCGCACTTGGGAATATGTTTTTCGGTGGCGCTCCCTATGGGGCCACGAACCCTGTGACGGGTGTGCCGACATGGGTGCGGCGGACGAATGTGGACGGTGGCATTGGGGCCTTCGGTGGAGCTCCCTATGGGGCCACGAAGCGTGTGAGGGGGGGTGCCGAAATGGGTGTGGGGGACGCATGCGGGCGGTGGCATTGGAGCCGTCGGTGGAGCTCCCTATGGGGTCACGCAGCGTGTGAGGGGTGTGCCGAAATGGGTGTGTAGGGACGCATGCGGGCGGTGGCATTGGAGCCTACGGTGGAGCTTCCTATGGGGCCACGAAACGTGTGAAGGGTGTACCGAAACGGGTGCGGGGGGCGCATGTGGACGGTGGCACTTGGGCCTTCGGTGGAACACCCTAAGGGGCCACGCAGCGTGGGAGGGGTGTGCCGAAATGTGTGGGGGACGCATGTGCATGGTGGCAGTGGGGCCTTCGGTGAAGCTCCCTGTGGGGCCACAAAGCGTGGGAGGGGTGGGCCGAAATGGGTGCGGGGGGCGCATGAGCACGGTGGCACTGGGGCCTTCGGTGGAGATCCCTATGGTTCCACGACGTGTCTGAGGGGTGTGCCGAAATGGGTGCGGGGGACGCATGTGGAGCTCCCTGTGGGGCTCCCTGTGGGGCTCTCAGCGTGGGAGGGGTGTGCCGAAATGTGTGGGGGGCGCATGAGGACGGTGGCACTGTCTGTGCCGAAATGGGTGTGGTGGACGCATGTGGACGGTGGCACTTGGGCCTTCGGTGGAGCTCCCTATGGGGGCAAGAAACGATTGAGGGATGTGCCGAAATCGGCGTGGGGGACGCATGTGGGCGGTGGCACTGGGGCCTTCGGTGGAGCTCCCTATGGGGCCACGAAAAATGTGAGGGGTGTACAGAAATGGGAATGTAGGGAACGCATGTGGACGGTGGCACTGGGGCCTTCGGTGGAGCTCCCTATGCGGCCACGAACCCTGTTACGGGTGTGCCGACATGGGTGCGGCGGACGCATGTGGACGGTGGTATTGTGGCCTTCGGTGGGGGCCACGAAACGTGTAAGGGCGTTCCGAAACAGAGACATGCGGAAGGTATAGGCAAGGAGGGGGAGGAGGGAGGAGGGAGAGGAGGAGGAGGAGAGGAAGGAGGGACGCCCAGCGCTGTCTCTTCAAAACGAAGACCCAACACCACAGGATGGTTGGGAAGGAAACAACCGTTTTTTAGATTTAAAAGGCAAACGTGATCAAACAAGAGCACAATAATTCGCAAGAGCGCGCGCGCTGACCTTTCTCTGTTTGAAAACCATGATGCGACACCATGCGTGTTGTTCGGGACGCTTTATCTAATCCTCACAAAGCGCGGGTGGACTTTGTTTCACCTGTTGTAAAGGATTTTGAAAATGGATGAATTTGGATACGAGGGTGTGGGCGCATACTGATTTTTGTTGCAAGGATGAAAGGGGAGGGAAGTCGATACTGCCCTGGCTGGGATGGTATGGACTCATATCTCGAATGAACGACGGGGCAGGGCCACATGAAAACAAGCTGCACGCACCTGGGGGGGCGGCCAAATCCTGGCCTCGGGGGGTCGTAGGCCCAAGCTCCATTTTGTAGAAAGGACCATCGAGGTGTTGCGATGATGCCATCTGTGTGGTGCGATCTGCGTGGTCCAACCCATGTCGTGCCATCTGGGCGGCGACGGGGCGGCGTCGGAGACCACATGGCCGCCGGACCGCCCGCCAGGCTCAGACGACGGGCGGCGACGAGGCGGCGACGGGGCGGCGACGGCGACGGCGACCACGGAGCCGCAAGACCGCCAGCAATGGGGAAACCAAAAGGTACTCCAGATTTCGTAATAAAGGGAGGGGGGTCTCATTTCGGGGGGGGTCTCTTCCAGGCTATCTTGGAGGGCCTGGGGGGTCTGGGGACGATGTTTTGGAGGGTTCTCCCACGGGGGAGGTCTGAAATGGCTTGTCTTGGAGGGTCCAGACCCCCTCCCTTTTATTACGAAATCTGGAGTACCGATACCGCTACTCCCCAGACCTCTCCCGGGGTGCGTTCTGACCAGAGTGTCGAAACGAATCAAACGGTGGCGACGATGGCCTCCCAGGAGGCCCGAAGAGGGGAAAACGGGCGAAGGGTAGCGGCATGGGTACCTTCTCCCCCTCTGAAGCAAGGCCCAGTTCCTCAGAGCGGACAGTAGAAACCCTAAATGCAAGCACCGCTTGGGGACAAACTGCATAAACACGTAACTGTTGGAGGTCCGGGCGAATTCCTTGGATCCGCACGGATCTCGCGGATCGCCGCCCCGGACCGCGCTCTGCGCGCCAGGGACGGGGCCCAGCGCCGGTCCGAGAAATCCGCGCTGAACCGCGAAATTCTTAGCAGCCCTTTGGGCGTGGGTGGTCTCGGCGGTGGACAAATCTCCCTTTGGTAGACCTCCCCTTAGTGAAAACGGCATGGGACCGAAACCGACGGACCTGGACCCGCAAAAATGACGGCCGCGACGCCCTCTCGCGAAACGAAAACGGCCAATTCCTCAATCGACGTGTCAGGGTAGGAGGTATGTCCACCCCCGATGGTCTAACGATGAGGTCGAGGAAACGAGGAAGACGCCAACGGCTACGAGGAGAAAGGTCCGTCAGCTTCGGCAACAACCACGTGGGCTCGCGGGAGCCGTCTCCCCTCGTGGCCAGGAACCTCGTGGCGCGGGGCCCCTCCCCCTTCGTCCTCCTCCTCATTCCTCCTCCTCCCCTCCCTCCTCCCCTTCCTCCTCCTCCTCCTCCTCCTCCTCCTCCTCCTCCTCCTCCTCCTCCTCCTCCTCCTCCTCCTCTCCTCCTCCTCTCCTCCTCCTCCTCCTCCTCCTCCTCCTCCTCCTCTCCTCCTCCTCCTCCTCCCTCCTCCCACTCTACTCCTCCCCCTCCTCCTCCTCCTCCTCCTCCTCCTCCTCCTCCTCCTCGTCCACCTCCCTTTCTCCTCCTTCCTCCGCCTCCTCCCACTCTCCTCCTCATCCTTTTAATCACAACCGTCACATCGCTATCTACTTCGTCGTCGTCATCATCGCCATCATCATCAATCCTGCTCGAGGCGCGCGGGGCAGGGAACTGGAGGTGGGAGGCGAGAGCGGAGGCGGCGGAGGGGCAGGCAGGCATGCAGGCGAGCGGGCCAGAAGGCGCAGGGCACCTCCTCCTGCTGCTTTGCACACTCCGCCTCTTTCTCCTGCTTCTCCTGCTCCTCGTTCTCCTTCTCCTGCCGCCTGAGGACTTGCGCACTTCCTCCACTTTCTCTTCGTCTGCACAGCCTATATCACGACGGCGTCAGGGGATCGAGTTAGACTTCTGCGGGGGCAGCGGGACAGCCTTTTCGACGGAACCTGCCACGATATGGCCTTGTCCATCACATTCTAGATCGGATAAATGGGGAGCGTGGACGAGAACGAACGTGGGGGGAGGACCGGGAAGCATGATCCAGGAATCACCTCGTGTTCCTGCTACCACTATTGCTCGCCTCCCCCCCGCCATCAGACCACCACCATCACCATCATAAATACAGTCGTCACCATCACCACCACCATCATCACCAACAGCATCATCAACAACATCACCATGACCGCCACCGCCACCTTCACCATCATCAGCAGCGACAGCATCATCATCACCATCATCATCAGCAGCATCATCATCTGCATTATCAGATTCATCGTCATCAGCATCACCATCCTCATCAAAATGACCATCATCATCCGCATCATCATCCTCATCATCAGCATCACCATCACCATCACCATCATCATCATCATCATCATCATCATCATCATCATCATCATCAGCATCAGCATCATCATAATCACCATCAGCATCATCAGCAGCAGCATCAGTACCCGCATCATCACCATCACCATTAGCATCAGCACATACATCAGCATCATCATCATCAGCAGCAGCAGCACCTTCGTCACCAAACTCATCCTCATCGTCGCCCTCATCATCATCGTCGTCATCGCCCCCCCGACCTCTCGGTTGCTGGTAGCTGCACGCTGTGGTGCTGAAATGAAGAGGTCAGGAACCTCCCGATAACGAATCCTGGGTTCGACGCGGTGGACCTCCCGTCGGGAGTGGCCCAGGCCACAACCCCTATAGGACAAGAAGGAACTACTTACACAGAGAAACTTTCGAGAGCCCGCGTGGATTTCGTGGATCCGCACTGAGCCCCCCTCCCTGGCGCGGGGAGCGCGCCAGGTGCGATGGAGGCGACGCCAAAGGGGTCCAGCGCAGATCCCAGAAATCCGCGCGGAGCTCCAGCAGTTTATGTTCGTGCCGCCGCTTCTATTTCGGAGGAACTACCTCGACCTCGGGGACCTCGAGGAGGATCGGCTTCGGCCTCGAGGACCTCGAGGACCTCCGAGAGCGTATGCTCGTGTACTCTCTTCCTCTTCGGGCCCCGCGCTCGGGTCACAGCAGAGGCCCTGCCATGCTGGCGCAGGCTGCGGCTTCTGTCGCCGCGCCAGCGTCGGGGGAGTCCCAGAGGGGGAGGGGGACGTCAGAAAGAAGGGGCCAGCATCAGGTCGGGCATGTCCCCATACAGGCGGATTTTGGACGAACGAAAATAACATTACCCCAGTGCGACCCTACCTAGAAGTTGGAGCCCTTAGGAAAGCAGCATTAGTTGCTATGCTATGCTATGCTATGATATGCCATGCTATGCTATGCTATGCCATGCTATACTGCGCTATGTTATGCTATTATGTGATATTATATGCTATGCTATGCTATGCTATGCTGCGCTATGCTATGCTATGTTATGGTATGAATTGTTATGATATGCTATGATATGTCATGTTGCGATGTGCTATGCTAAGCTACATATGATATGATATGCTATGATATGACAATCTGCGCTGTGCTATGCTATGATATGCTGTGTTATGTTATGATATGCTGCGTTGTGCTATGCTATGCTGGGCTATGCTATGATATGCTGTGCTGCGCTAAATTATGTTACGCTATGCTATGCTATGCGGTGCTCTGCCATGCTAGAGCTCAGCGAAACTAAGATGAAGGTAAGCTAAGCTACGATAAACATGAGCTAATATGAAGCTAAGCTAAGCTAAGACAAGATGAATTAAGTCAAGCTAAGATGAGATAAGCAACGCTAAGGTAAGGGGACGTAACTGGGGGAACCGCGGGGCGGATGCCGGGGGAACCGCCCGGGGCGTTTTACACTGCCCGGCCCCTTTAAGCAAAGAGGGTAAGAACCCTTCTAGGCAGAGCCTAGGTAGGGAATTACTCAAACCATATTCGAACATTGTCGAACAAATAATCGAAAAATCGTCCCCTGACTATTTTTGATTATTTTTGAACATTCCTCCTGTAGAGGGACAGGCCCGACTTAAGGCCAGTGATTAGGCCATGGCCCGAAGCACGTGCGCGGCCGAGAGGGGGGGCCTGGGGGGACGCGCTCAAAGGAGAGCTGAGGGCACTGGGCTCTGTGAGACGGTATGGAGGAGGCGGAGGCTGAGGAGGAGGAGGAGGAGGAGAAGGAGGAGGCGGAGGAGGAGACGCAGGAGGAGGAGGAGGAGGAGGAGGAGACGAAGGAGGAGGAGGAGGAGACGAAAGAGGAAGAGGGGGAGGAGGAGGAGGAAGAGGAGGAGGGAGAAAGGAGGAGGGAGGAGGGAGGAGGGACCCGACCATGATGTGAATCCCCTCGGGTCGTCCAGAGGCCTCCTCGATGGGGTCCGCGTCGACGGGGTCGCAGGATCGCGCCGCATCGCCAATGCACCGCAGATGCACCGGGGATGCATCGGAGATGCATCGGAGACGCCTGCGGTGCATCAGCGACGTCCGCATCGGGAAGCACGGGGTTCCACATCGAGCTGCATTGTCGATGCATCGGCGACGCGGCGCGGTCCTCCGACCCCATCTGCTCCTCCAGATGGGCATTTTTCCCTCCCGACCTCCTCGACGGTGCGGCCAGGACGACGGAGAGAGGGGAGAGGAGGGAAGGAGGACCCCTGCCTCCATCCGCCCTCCCTCTCTCCGTCGCTCCTACCAGAGGGAAGGGAGGAGAGGAGACCCGCACCCCCGACGTCGTGACTTCCTTTTCTTACGGCGTAGATGCCCAGAGGTCTGGACCCTTTCCCCAGGACCGCTTCTTCGTCCCGGGTTGCTTTCTGGACGGCCCCGAGGCCCTGGAAGGGCCCACCAGGAGGCCGAGCATGGCGAAAAGAGGGAGCTGTCGCTGCTGGCGATGCTGAATAAATTCGACTTGATGTTGTGTCCATGGAAAAAAAAGCAAATCGTTTGCAGATCGGCTTACCCATCGGTCGAAAGAAGTACGTAGAAACATGAGGTAGGAAGGCGTTGAAAGTAGATTGGGTGTCCGCTCGCCCCCTAAAGAGGACGGAAGAGGTGAAGCCACTCGATCATTGAAGTAGGAAGGCGCTGAAAGTAGATTCGAATCTGGGAATCCAAAAATACCTACTTTCAACGACCGATGGGTAACATGTCGGCGAAAAGCCTCCCGTCGCGGTTGCTGCACACCGCGAGGAGGCCTGGGCATATGCACCGTGCACCGCTCCTGGCCAGGCGCACCCCAAGGCCCACAAGGGTCGTTTTCTGGACGGCCCCGAAGCCCGGGAAGGGCCCCCCAGGAGGCCGAGCATGGCGAGAAAAGCCTCCCGCCGCGACTGCTGCACGGCGCGAGGAGGCCTGGGCATGTGCACCGTGCACCGCTCCTGGCGCCAGGCGCACCCCACAAGGCCCAAGAGAGGTCGGCGCGCGCGCCCTTCTGGGGGCCCTTCGGGGCGTGGGGGATTTGGACGAAAATGTAATTTTATGATTATCCCAGTGCGACCCTACCTAGGAGTTGGAACCCCTAGGAAAGCAGCATTAGTAGTAACAGTAACGCTAAGCTAAAGCTAAGCTAAAGCTAAGCTAAAGCTAAGCTACAGCTAAGCCACAGCTAAGCTAAAGTTAAGCTAAAGCTAAGCTAAAGCTAAGCTAAAGCTAAGCTAAAGCTAAGCTAAAGCTAAGCTAAAGCTAAGCTAAAGCTAAGCTAAAGCTAAGCTACAGTTAAGCTAAAGCTAAGCTAAAGCTGAGCAACAGCTAAGCTAAAGCTAAGCTACATCTACGCTAAAGCTAAGCTAAAGCTAAGCTAAATCTAAGCTAAAGCTAAGCTAAAGCTAAGCTAAAGGTAAGCTAAAGCTAAGCTAAAGCTAAGCTACAGCTAAGCTACAGCTAAGCTCAAGCTAAGCTAAAGCTAAGCTATAGCTAAGCTAAAGCTAAGCTAAACGCTAAGCGACAAGCTAAGCGAAACGCTAAGCTAAAGTTAAGCTACAGCTAAGCTAAAGCTAAGCTAAAGCTAAGCTAAAGCTAAAGCTAAAGCTAAAGCTCCCAGGGGACTGGGGGGAACCGTTCCCAGGGGACTGGGGGAACCGCCCAGGGCGTGTTGCACTGCCCGGCCCCTGCAAGCTAAGAGAGTCAGAACCCTTCTAGGCAGAGCCTAGGTAGGGAAAAATATCAAAACATGCGAAAAAAAACAAAGCCCCCAAAACAAAAGACAGCTGCGAACTCACAGACCCCACGCGAAGCCACGCACGAGCCCGAGGTGGGCACACAGCCTTGCTGACCTGGGTCCGGCCAGCATCAGGTCGGGCGTGTCCCCCATACAGGGGGACTTGGACAAAAATCAAAAAAAAAAAA